AGAAATCTATACCAATGAAAAATATTTGATATTAATTGTTCCTTTTAAGTTTAAAAGTAGAATCACCAATCTACCCTTTTATCCTATCATTCCTACGCCCCCTTTTATCTTTTCAAAATAAATCCCTGGATCTACCTTCTATTGTTTAGTTTTTACCCTGACCATGACCAATAAAATAACTTGCAATCAATCTACCTAAATAATGATAAACATCCATAACCCATAAAATAACCCCAAACCATCCACCCTATTCTTAAGAATGTGGGTGTCATGTTCTCTAGAGTGTTTACTGTTATCTGGGGGTGACAACACCTTTAGGGGACCCTGAGAAAATTGAGATAATGGTAAATTCCTGAGAAAGCTGGCTGTATCATTTTTGTTCAGTCTCTGAGTGATAGGAAGGTGCAGAGCTGAGCTGAAGTCCTGGCTGGAGTAGTCTGTGAGGCTGGACCATCTCAGCAAGCAGCTTTGAAGTTATTCTGGATGCAGATTTTTGAAGAAACTGCAACAGAGACATTATGAAAAGCTAGATCACCTGTGCTACTTGTCTTCTTTACCAGTGTCTGGTTCTTTTGTTCTCAAAACACACAACCTTTCAAAGGTAACATATATCTGCATTAACAAAAGTATGGGATGTGTCTTGTGGACAAATCAACTAGGGATGAATTTTTGTTCCATGTTAGAGCAGGTAGAAGACATCCATCAACTTGTGTATGTCCATTTGAACTATATAACTAAACTGTAATATGAATCTCCATCCATGCTATATGAAAGGATGGTATGTAATAATAAGTCATAAGGAATCTGTAGAAGAGATTTAATATGGTTCATGCAGTCCCTGAGCTGTTCCTGTGTTGAGGGATCAGTTTATGCAGCACCTGTCTTAGAGTTTTTCTTGGTTTCCTCCTTCATGTCTGCAGCCAAGATTCACAGACAGTCTCTCCATATCAAATCTTGTCTTTATTAATTTTTGAAGAAATCAATAGCTTTCATTTTCTGTGGAAACAAAGGCATAACCTCTCTCCCCAATGCAATACACTGTATTTTTCATTGTTATATGACTTATTCTTTTTATACTACTTTATCTCTTTAAACACTTTATTATTTTCAAACTATTTATATATTTTTATGACTATCTGTACCTATTTTATTTTCTTCCTTCAGTACCTAAGCACATTTTATAGTATACTGTACCTATTTCTCAGTCTAAATCTGACTTTTTTTTCTGAACATCTGCAGCATTTCTCTGACCACTAGGTAGTGATACAAACCTTAATCAGCTAGGCAGCAGCTAGGATACCCAAGGCCTGGCTCTGTTAGCACATAATGCTAGAAGCTGGCTCCTCCATCTTCAGGTACATAAGGGCCAAGCCTTATGCATGCAGGTAACTGCTAGGAGCTGTATTTACCTGCACCAGTTTAGAAAGCTTTTCGGCCTGTGCTGATTCACAGAAAAGTCTGTTAGCTAGTCTGGTCCCAACACTGCAGAGGAACCTTGGGTGACTATTAGGCAGCCATCTGTCCCTGTCATTTCTATAGTTTTGGAAGTTATTTGTTCTATACTTCTTGTTCATTCAACTCAGGTAATATTTTTTCTTCTTTGAATCTCTGATGGGAATTGAAGAATAGATAGATATACTCTTTTCTTTGTTACAAAATTCAGAAAAGAAACTTACAAAAGAGATGTAAAGTTTATGAAGTTGAGAGACATAAAAGCTCATTGTATTCATCCGAGGAAATGTTTTAAGGCCTAAAATGTTATAAGTTTTAAACAATTTTTTTATTTTACATACCAGTCCCAGTTCCCCCTCATTCCTCTCCTCCCACTTCTACCTTCCTCCCATTCCACCCCCATCCACTCCACAGAGAGGGTAAGGCCTCCCATGAGGAATCAACAAAATCTGTCAAGTCACGTTGAGGCAGGAGCAATGTCCTCCTGCCCTGTACCTAGACTGAACAAGGTATCCTTCCATAGGGAATGGGCTCTAAAAAGTCAGTTAGTGCACTAGGGATAAATCCTGGTACCACTGCCAGTGACCCACCTGCTGACCAAGCCACACAACTAAACCCCACATTCAGATGACCAAGTTCAGCCCTATGCAGGTTCCCCAGCTGTTAATCTGGAGTCAGTGAGCACCCATGAGCTCGGGTCAACTGTTTTGGTGGGTTTCCCTATCATGGTCTTGACCCCTTTGCTCCTCCCTCTCTTCAACTGGGCTCTTGGAGCTTAGCCCAATGGTTAGCTGTGGATCTCTGTACCTCTTCCAAGAGATACTGAATGAAGGTTTGATGATGACAATTAAGGTAGTCATCAACCTGATGACAGGGGAAGGCTAGTTCAGGCACCCTCTCAACTACTGCTTAGAGTCTTAGGTGACATCACCCTTGTGGACTCCTGAGAACTTCCCAGTACCAGGTTTCTAGCTAACTCGATAAAGGCTCCTCTATTAAGATATCTCTTTCCTTACTCTCTTTCTCTATCCTTCCCCCAAATGGACCATCCCATTCCCTCATATTCTCCTCACTACTGCCCTTCTCTTCTTCCCCTTCCATACTCCCCACTTCCTCCCATGCTGAAGCTGCTTCCGCTGAACTTCCTGTTTTCTCAGATAAAATTTTATCCCCCTAGGGTCACTGATGGAGGATAAAGACTAGATAGTTGTAACTTCATGTAACCAGCAAGTTATATCTATGTTTTCTTTGTTGCCAAATTTAGAAAAGAAACTTCCAAAAGAGATGTAAAGTTTATGTGGTTGAGGGACATAAAAATTCACGTTTTTCTAAGAAAATGTTTAAAGGTATGAAAAGATACTTTTAGGTTGTCAATCAGGTTATGATAGAAGTGATTTAGGAAAAAACGTTTGAACTCATCAAGACAGGATAGACAATAATTACTTCAAATTTGTCAAAACTAGTAAACTAGGGATTGGGTATGTAATTTTTAGTTGATAATTTTTCTTACTGTGTTAGAGTTAAAAAACTTCACTTATTTAGACAAAAGGAGGAAATGTTGCAGGATATTTGTTCACCTTGTGTGTAAGGTGCCTACTGTTGATTTCATAAAGAGCTGAATGGCCTATAGATAGAGAAGAGAAGAGGCAGAACTTCTGGAGGAAGAGCGGAACTTGAGATGAATATAGGTACACAAGGGGGACTCCAGCTAGGATGTGGAGCAAGTGAGACATATAGAATGGAAGAGAGGAAAAAGCCATGTGGCAGAATTTAGATGAATAGAATTAGGTTGTAAGAGCTAGTTGGGAATAAGCCTAAGCTTATAGCCAAGCTTCATAATGGGCAGTGTGGCTCCATGTTATTCTTTGGGGCCTGGAGGTCAAAGAAAGTCTGAAGAGAAAGTCAGAACACACACATGGATATCCACATGAGCAGGAATGTAACCGGGCTGTTGCCACATACAGTATAAAACAGTTCAGAAAGAATCAAAATCTGAAAAAACTTTCACAAAAAACACCAGGAGCAAATTTTCATGACACTGGATAAAGAATTAATTTCTTAGATCTACTGCAAAATAACAAGATATAAAAGTGCTTGGTCAGGTGGAGTGGAGAATTACTTTAAAGCCAGCATTACTAGGTCAGATATGGGAAGATCTCTGAGTTTATTGATAGCTTCGCCTGGTCTACATTTTGAGTTTCAGAAGAGACAGGGCTACATAGGGGAAATCTGTCTTTTTAAAAAAAAAAAGTATATGCATTGCATTTTTACCAAAGTAAAAGCTTTTATAAAACAAAGGATATCATCAAAGAAGCAAAAATTCTCCCAGGTGTGGTTTTCCATCCTATAATCCCAGCGCTGGGGAAGAGAAGGAAGAAAGGTTGAAAATTCAAGGTATCTTCAAAATGTGGTTACGTTTCAGGCTAGCCCATGATATGTTAGAATTTTCAAAAATAAATATATAAGAAAACAGAAGTAAGGAGTATTATCTATGAATGAAGGATACCCATTATCTAGAAATACCTGACCATAAAATAGAACTGGGAGGCCTGAGGCCTCCTTAAGAAAGAATAGTTCAGTCACTGAATCATAGAGGAATCTGCTGATTGGTCAGTTAAGAGGGGTACTCTGGAGATGGTAGGCAATCCATTCCCACCACCAGAAAATGGTAGAAAGGGAGCCAGCAGTCAGCAGTTGGACATGCCCTTGGCTGCTGCCTGTGGAGAAAATTTGGGAAGGCTCTGATGAGAACCAAGCTTCTTTCACTTCTACCATTGCTGCTTTTGACAGAAGAGGTCATATCAGGTTTTCCCATACACCACAATGAATTTCTATGTGAAGTTCATTCTCTGAGCTGTATTACCTCTCTTCCACACTCTATCAGTTTACCTCTGTTTACGCTGTGCTACTTAGCATACAGTGCCTCAGCCTTCTACTGTCTCTAGTATGCTATCTACACTTAACGTATTTGTGTTGGTTTATAGGTATGCTGTTGTGTTCTGGGAAGTACACCAGGATACATAATGCACATGACTTGCTGACTTCTAAGTAGAGAAACCAACATATCAGACCATGTTCACAGAACATGTATTACTTCTCTCTAGACAAAACACTTCCCACCTCCTACTGTCAGGCTGAACCTGGCTACTTTTTGGCTGAGAGAATGCTTAGAAAGAGAAGCAGATCATTCTTGAGACGCTGAGTCTGTGAGTTTGCCCACTGTTCTTTCCTTTTTTTCTAGGATGACATGTTGGACATAAGGTTCCTTCTTCAGGATGGATGTGAGAGAACAGAAGGTCACTGCCAACCCACAGCTATAAGCATGTACAACAAATGATTATTTACAATTTTAACCCAGTAAGATTACTCACGTGTTTGGAATTATATCTTAGTGTAGCCTGTGAATCAAGACAGTCACCCTGGTTTCACAGTGGTTTATCCCAGTTACTACGTACTATGTTTTTCAAATATATAAGACAGCTAAATAAAATTCTGTCCCTTTACCAAAAAGTGGTAATCCACTCCAGATTCTCCTGGATCCTGGTTCACTAGTCCACCCTACCATGTGTCATCACCTTGAGGAATGCCCTCTTGATGTCTTTGTTTCTCATACTGTAGACCATGGGGTTGAGCAAGGCAGTGAAGACATTGTAAAAGAGTGATATCTGCTTGTCTCGCTCAGGGGAGTAGCTGGAGTTGGGTCTTATGTAGATGTAAGTGGCTGGAACATAGAATAATGTGACTACAGTCAGGTGGGAGGCACAGGTAGAGAAAGCCTTGCAGCGGGCTTGGCTGGACTTGATCTTGAGAACTGCCTTGACAATATGAATGTAGGAGGTCACAATGAGGGAAAGTGGAGTAAGAACCATACAAACACTCAAGACCTGGTCCACCATCTCAATGATGTGGGTATCCATGCAAGACAGGCTACGCACTGAAGGGCCTTCACAGAAATAATGGTTGACCTTGTTGGGTCCACAATATGGCAGACGCATGGTAAAGAACGTATGTAACAAAGCAGCAAGGAAACCACAGACCAAAGACCCACCTGCCAATCGTATGCACAGTCCCCAGTTGAGGATGACAGTATAATGCAGTGGGTAGCAAATGGCCACATATCTGTCATAAGCCATGACAACAAAGAAGATGCTCTCGGTAGCACTCAGAGCACAAAACACATACATCTGCATCCAGCAGCCAGCAAAGGAGATGGTTTTAGAGTGAACAAGAAGATGCACCAACATCTGGGGCATGGTGGTGGTGGCAGAGCCCATATCCAAAGTGGCAAGTATACAGAGGAAGAAGTACATGGGATTGTGCAGTTTTGTGTCCATGCAGATCAGCAGGATGATGAGCCCATTGCCCATGACTGAGCTCAGGTAGATGAGAAGGAACACAATGAAGAGGATGCTGTTGGTTGAGGGGTCACTGGAGAAGCCAAGCAAGACGAATTCAGAAACTCTGGTTTGGTTCTGTCCTGGAATCATCCACATAGTGCAGGCTATAAGAGAATCATATTCATTTATGAGTCACCTGACACAGACCACCAACACAGGCAGAACAGGAAGATTAAGGATATTGAGTTGGCACAAAGGTTAAGAGCACTGACTGCTGTTCCAAGGACAGATTGCTTAGAACTGTCTGTGCCTCCAGTTCCAGACAATGTGACTCCCTCCTCTCACCTCCACAGGCCAGACACACACATGTTTACAGACATTTATATAGGCAAAAATATATATGTATAAAATAAAAAACAGTAGTTTTTAATTAAAAAAGGTAGGATGTGGGTTCTAAGCATACTATTCAGTTTTGTTCATTATTCTCAAGTTAATGAACCTCCCAATGCCTCAGTCTCTTCATCTATCAAATGAGGCTGACGACAAAAATGTCTCTGGAGAATGAGGAATAGCTAAGTCATTTCACATAACGCCTAGAACCAGAACATAATACATGACATATTGTGTGCAATCTCATTCTCTCATTCTGTCTCTGGAAGGGAGAGACATGAGATCCCAGCCTGAAGGAATAAGGTGAGAGCAACTGAGAGAGAGCCTCATGTCATTTTCTGAGCACACACACACACACAAACACACACTGTCTCTGCCTCACATACACACTTACCTGTACATGCATGAACCACACACATATGCAAAAAAGAAAGTAAATAAACAGAAGAAGATGACAGAAGAAAGACAGACACATGCACACACAGAAATATGAGTAATGACAGAAGGTCACATGTGCACTGGAGACACTGTAGTATTCCCAGGGAATGCTGATGGATGATGTTGATAAGTGAGCAGGAAAGTCATTTCTTCCTTTTTTATCCATGCTCCCTCTGCACACAAATAATCAATTATGGTTGTAATATACCTTTAAGTGGTAAATCTAAAGCAAGCATGTTTTTTTTTAGATTCAACCTAATAAATATCTATGTGTCTCTGTCCTTTTAGGGGAAGCAAAGGAAATATTTCTCTAAAAGAGCACTTTCCTTCAAGGGAAAAATAATGGTAATCTAGAATAAGCAAATGGAGTACACAAAATACGTATAGAAAGAATTAGAAAGGCACAAACATAACAGTAGATGCTCTCATAGAGTAGTGAACCACATTTAAAGGGCATTTCACAGGCAGCTGTCTAGTGAGCACTGAGGAGGTTAAGGCTCTCTGCATCATTATCCATATGGAAACTACGAAAAAGCAGCACAGTGCCAATGCCCACCCTCCTCTTCTCTGTCTCACATCACCACACACCTACCAGCACAGCTACAATAACAGAATCTATTGACAAGAGTAACTGGATCCAGTGGGAGAGTGAATCAACATGATCCCTTTTCAGTGAGCCAGGCTGTGTTTCCTAAAGTTGAACACAGTTAACGTATGTATTACTGCATTGCTAGCAACAGAAATATCAAGTATATTTCTGAAAAAATATGTGAACACAAAGGATACTACAAACAGGCTCAAGGAAAGACATGTGAAGGGAATTTCCTAACACTGCTCAAAAGAGTCTGAACTTCAGCACCACTCATGCTAATCAGCAAGACAATGGTGAAGGCAGGAATTGCTCTGATGGGAGTAGAAACATGAAAGAGACTCCTAGACATCCTCAGTCTTCTCTTTCCCTGTCCCCATCCCCTCTCCTGACCAGTCTACTGCTCAGAACCCTCACAGCTGTCCTTCCTTTAGGTCAGGAACCCATCATCTCTCCCAGCATTTCTGCATCAGCATCTCCTTGTGCCCCTTGCCTCTTAATTTTCCTCCTCAATACAGTCTTTTCTTTTCCTTGAATTTTTAAAATTTATTTTTATACAATCTACTTTGAACATATCCTTTCCCTCCCTCAACTTCTCCCAGGCCCTCTCCACCCAACTTCATGTTCATTTACCTCCCACACTTGCTTTCAAGACAAAACAAAACTACTGTAGATATTAAAATAAAAAACCTAAAAGAAACAAAATAAAAAAATCAAAGAAAAAAATACCAATTCCATGGAGTCAGTCTCCTGTTGACCAGCCACTCCTGAAGATGTGTCTAGTTATAGACTGTAACTGCTATGCACAGTGAGATGGCGTTGGTTTATTTCACAAATTATTCCTTGTTCAGGGGCAGAACTTTGTGTCCTCCTCCCTTTCTCAGTGCTAGGCGTTTGTCTTCCTCAGCAAGTCCTTCATGTGACTGCTGCAGTGGTTTTCAAAGTTTCCATAATGCTCCTGTCTGGCCCCTGCTGAAAGCCTTTTATGATCTCCCATGTGCTGTCATTTGAGTTGGATGCACAGATCATTCAGTACTAAATCCCTTCCCTGTGCAGACTAGCCTCAGCACACAACCGTCTCTTCCATCCCCTCTCCATACACACATATTCTCACTTAAGATCTCCCAGTATACTGTATGCCTCTACCTCTCTCATACGCTAAGATTCCCCTAGCTTCTCATAATGGAGGGTGGACCACCATCTCCATGGTGCTGACGAAATGGTGGCCACAGCAGGAATCAGATAATCCAGGAAGCCTTCCCTGTTGTGCTACATCCTCCCATACTAACACAGGTAAGATACAACTTGCATTTCTTGCTCACTAGGTGGTTGCAATCTGAAGAATTCTAGGGGATCTGATATCAGTTTTGACAGCAAAAATGCTTGGACAAACCCTTTGTCTCTTTCTTGTTAACTGAAACCCCACACAACTAAGGAGAAATTATCTCCGATGGAGTGCAGCTGTATACGTGATTTCCTAACCTTGCTAATAATAAAATCAACCAATATTTGTTTTAGATAATTTATGCATTCCCTCCAATGATCCACTAACTTTAGTTTAACAACACAGCAGTGTGTTATATGTGAAAAGCCAAGGCCTAGAGCAGGCTTTTTCAGACTGCAAGCTCAGCAAGGGGGAAGTGTGAGTTTAGGGGGTGTGACATCAGAGCCTGTCTCTCAATCAGCTTTTCTTAACCTGGTTTACAGGCTATGAAGTGTAGAGGTGAAGAAGACAAAGTCCATTGTCCGTCAAGTTGAGCTTATTGAGATTCAACACAGGCCACAGCCCTCTTAGCACAGAACTGGATGGCTAGTCACAGATCAGCTCTCCTGATGGGATTTACCCCCCTGTCTGAATGTGAGAGACCCTGGGATGTACTGAAAGTAGGATTCAAAGAAACAGGATCTGAGGAGTAGTTTCTATGGTATGCAAATACCATTTAGTTACCCATGGCCTTTTATGGTTTTCAAGCCCATTGATCTTTGATTTTGCTTACAGTGTTCCAGCAGGATGGTGACCCAATTCTATGAGTGCTGGACTCACAGATAAAGAGATCAGAATGGAGTTTCAGACCAGGAAAAAAAAATCTACTTATGTTAGCTCCAACCTACATACAATGGTTGAATCTGGACGGTTTAAGGTCAGAGGTCCTAGGATATTCTTCACAGAATAGAACATTAAGTTAAGCTAGACTACAACAGACTAATCACCCCCTTTACCAAAACAAAGTAAAAATGTAACAAAGAATCATTATTTGTCCGACCACAAAGTGCTTGAAGCTGTACCTTTGTGGTGTGGTGTCTCCTTCAAAGACATTGACCATTGCTGATCTCTCATGGATATGACTTTTTGCCTCTCTTGAGATATTTGAGCGCAGGACTCCATATCTTTATATCACAACATGATTTAAAAAAGACAGACATTCAGTAAATACTTACTGCATGAAAAAAGCAAGGAAGGAAGAAAGAAGTAAGGACACAAGGAGAAGAAAGAAAAGAAGCCAATGAGGGAAGAGGTCTGGAGAGTTTGAGATGTATGCACAGAGACCTGGAGATGGATGGCTTGTCTACTTCTCTTCTCTAGACCCATAGATGCCTAAACCCTACCCATAAGAAAACCATCAGTGACTATCTTACCACTTGTAAATCCAGGGATTGTGTCACTGAGTGGCAGTTTCTTGCTGTTATGAGGAAACCCCATAAAGCAACTGAGTCCAGAGTGATGAGATTCAAGGCAGCTGAATCTACAGAAAGATTTCAAGGTTCTGTTGAGTTTGAGGGACTGAATCTCTCATTTCCTCTGTAAGTAGGTCCCCAGCTCCTGAAGCTACTACAATCTTGCTTAGCAAAGGTGAGCTCAAACATCTCCACCTCCTATTCCCAGTAGAACCAGATGCTGAGGTTTAATGACCATATCTCCTCTCTGAGATTCACTAGGAGAGCTGGGAAAGGGCCATTTCTGATCCCAGTAGGGTTACTAAGATTATCCCTGGATGCTGTCAACAAGAGCACTACAAGGAGACCCTTGGGCATAGAGCAGGAGGAAACAACCCATAGGGGAAGTGGTGAACTTTCCCTTTTCTAGACTAAATGAGAAAAAGAGAAGCTCAGAAAAGAGGAAGTAGGACCTGGTTGCCTGATACATAGGTTATTCTGACTTAAGTTATTCTTACTCCTCTTTTACTGCCTAAACCCTGAGCCCTAGCACTCAGTGAGACCACGTTTGAGTCATAGTCCTCTTCTTTCCTCAACTACTTTGGAGAATTCATAATCCCCCCTTCTCTGCCACGTTATATCTAAGCAAGTTACCCAGAACCTCTGGTGCTAATGAAGAGATAGCAGTACTGAGAGGTGGAGGATGCTTATGAGAAAAAGAGGGTTTGCTGATCTTGCAGAGAATTCAGTTGGGTTTGCAGCACAGACATGACAATTCAAACCATCTATATTTCCAGTTCTATAGAATCTGGTACCCTCTTCTGACCTCCCCAGGGACCAGACATACATGTGTTGTACATATGTATGTATGTATGAATGTTTGTATATGCAAAATGCTGATACATATAAAAATAAAAACAGTCAACCATGACATAGTAGCATGGAAGTCAGCAGTGACATCTGCATGAGAGTGCAGTGAGAAAACTCTCCAGGGGCTCCTGCCTTTTACAAGCAAATAAGAATTTGGATCCAAATGTATCAAGCTCTGGATCATGTTCTCTGGAACTTGCTTTTATTTTGCCTCAGTTGCCTCTCCTGTGAAATTCCAATAGTAATCTCTTCCCTTC